TAAAAGAAGGCTTCACAGAGAAAATAAACCTTGGATTTAAACATTTTATATGCCTTAAAATAATAGATCCGAAAAAAGCACTGTTGGAATTTTAGAATTGTTCTGTGGAAGACCAGTACTTTACACAACTTTTAGTAAGGTTTCTTTAGTATAATTCTGCCCTTCTACCATCTTTTTTTTTTTTTTTTTTCAATATAATCCACAGGTTCACACCTTTTACCATCTTTTCAACAGTCTTTTAAGAAGTTACCAAAGTGATGCTTATGAACTTTGGCTTACAATATACATCTTAGGTGCCAGCACCAAAAAGAGTGCAAGGAAATATTTGTTGCTGAGTCCTGGGGAAAGAACTGTATATGTAAAGGAAAAACATAAACAATAGATTTCTCAGTTATACTGGCAACTATTACAGGCAATGTGGATTACAGAAATATGTAACATTTACACATTAGAACACAGAATGACTATAAAGTGTAGGTAAACAAAATATCACTACCAGTTTTTTTACTCATTCTGTATTTTACTTCAGCTTTCTAGAGCTGAATGGCAAGTTCTCATCAGCCACTCTTTTTTAAACATAAATTTATTTTCATTGGCTCTCACTACCTCTCCCTGCTACTTTTCCTGAACAATTGTAACCAACCCCATCTTTATCCTCTGATAAAGCAATATTCCCCAATCTATTCTCACATATTCTCACCAAGAGGAGTATCTATTATGTTGCCCCATAGAGCCCCCCTTTCTTTTCGAGACAGAGTCTCACTCTGTCACCCAGCCTGGAGTGCAGTGGCACAATCCCAGCTCACTGCAACCTCCACCTCACAGGTTCAAGCGATTCTCCTGCCTCAGCCTCCTGAGAAGCTGGGACTACAGGCAGACACCACCACAACTGGCTAAATTTTTTGTGTGTATTTTTAGTAGAGATGGAGTTTCATTATGTTGACCAGACTGGCCTCAAACTCCCAACCTCAGATGACCTGCCCACCTCAGCCTCCCAAAGTGCTAGGATTATAGACAATGACCCACCATGCCCATCGAAGCCCCCATTTTGAAAGAATTTGCAGCTAAATTTATTGAATAGTTTTTCCATTTTTAATTATACACTCAACTGCCAATCAGAAATCATAATTAGATGAGAAAATTAATTAATTAATTAATAATTAGATGAGAGAACTTGGTTCATAAAACCAAAGCCAGAAACAAAAAAATATATTTTGGTATTTTGATTGGCAAAAGTTTAAGTTGTATTAGGTTGTCTGAAAACTGAATGTTTCCAAGGAATCTCAAGGACTACTGGAACTCCTTCAATCCTAAAATCTGAGAAAACTATTTTTCTAACAAAGGGCTTTTTCCAATAATTAAGAGAATAGATCTATTTACTCATTAGTCCAGATATCTTATTTTTACTATTGTTAATTCTGTTGTTTTAAATTTTTCTTTGGAACAGAATCTTACTCTGTTGCCCAGTCTGGAGTACAGTGCCACACTCCACAGTGAACTGCAAACTAAGATCACTGCAGTCTCAACCTCCGAGCTCAAGGACTCCTTCCACCTCAGCCTCCCAAGTAGCTGTGACTACAGGAGCCCACCACCAGGCCTGGCTAATTCTTGTATTTAGAGAGACAGAGTCTAATCATCTTGCCCAGGCTGGTCTCAAACTCCTGAGCTCAATCGATCCACCCACCTCAGCCTCCTAAAGTGCTGAGGTTATAGGCATGTGCCATCACACCCAGTCAACTGTTTTTTTTTAATTCTAAGAAACAACTAGCCTCCCAGAGTGCTGGGATCACGGGCTTGAGCCACACACCGCGGTGAATTATATACTTTAAATGAGTAAATTGTATGGTATGTGAATTTTATCTCAATAAAGCTGTGGTTTTGCAAAAAAAAAAAAAAAAAAAAAAGAATATAATCTACAGGAGGCCGGGGGTCATAGCTCATACCTGTAATCTTGGCAACTCTGGAGGCTGAGGTGGGAGAATCACTTGAGGCCAGCAGTTTGATACCAGCCTGAACAATATAACAAGCCTGCCCCCATCTCTACCAAAAAAATGTAAATATATATACACACACACACACCATTTAGAGGTAAATGCTAATATATGCACACATAGAACCATCATGGATCAGATTCAGTTTAGGGTATTAATTCCCACCAGCTTCCAGAATGACCCTTGTATAAAATGCCTTGTCTTATTGTTTTTTCCTTTTCAAATACAATCAACCTGGCTGGAAAACCAGTCTGAAAGAAAGTGCAGCAGGGACCTCAGACAAAGCAGAAAATTTGTGGGTTGGAAACGAATGAATAAAGCACTTAAGAATAGAAAGAACAGATGTGTGGTGCATTTTTATTTCAAAATCACCATTGAAAGACAGGTTTGATTTTTGCTTGTTTGAAAGTTGGCCTTATTCACAGGTGCTAAATGAAACAGCATTATCAGTTGAGGGTCCTGTCATCCTGACAAGGCATTACTATGAATGCAGTGAAGCCTGACTTTGGATTCTGGTTTGGTACCCATTCCCCTATCCTCCTAAGCCTTAGCTCTTTCTTCCTCAGAAATTTCAATCTGCAGGCATCTGAATAAAAAGTAGTTATGGGTCACAGTAGCAGCGTCAACAATTTCACCAGATTACTGCAATTTAAGGCCTGAAAACATATTTCAGTTCAAATCACACTGGCCCCACCAATCTGCATTAATGATATTGTGATAAATTCAGAGGTTTAGGATTTCATGAAAATCATTTAAAAATATTTCCTAACAATCTAAAACTGATTTTCCAAAGCAACTTTTTCTAAAAATGTTTAGTGCTAAGTTCACAATAAAGCTTTCCTTCATTGCAATTCTTTCACAAAGCACTTCAACAGTTTGCTCCTCCTTCAGATGAATCACCCAGGCCATCCAGTGAAAGAATAGCTTTTATAAATTCAAAACAGTGCCTAGCTCTGTTGTTCTCAGCCCTAGCTACACACTAAAATCATCTGGATAGGTTTTAAAAATGGCTATGCCAGGTTCTTTCACATTAATTGGTCTGGGATGGGAAGTTAACATGGTATGTCTTAAAAGCTCCCCAGGTGATTCTAAGGTCCAGACAAGATTAAGAACCACTAGCCTACAAGAATGGCTTGAGCCTGGCTTCCATCAACACTTGGTTCTTTTTAGTGTCTTAATCCGAACTGATGGCCGTGAAGCAAGCTCTTCTTCTAGTTGGAAAAGAAGGGACAAGGACAGAGGGAGTAACAATAGACGTCCACAAATTAATCATATAAAATGAAAATATCCCTTGCCCAGCGCGGTGGATCACGCCTGTAATCCCAGCACTCTGGGAGGTCAAGGCAGGCAGATTACCTGAGGTCAGGAGTTCAAGACCAGCCTGGCCAACACAGTGAAACCCTGTCTCTACTAAAAATATACACACACCAAAAAAATGGTCAGGCGTGGTAGTGCCTGACTGTAGTTCCAGCTTCTCGGGAGGCTGAGGCAGGAGAATCACTTGAACTCAGGAGACAGAGCTTGTTGTGAGCAGAGATCGTGCCATTACACTCCGGCATGGGCAGCAGTGAGACTTTGTTTCAAAAAAAAAAAAAAAAAAAAAAGAAGAAGAAGAAGAAAAAGAATATGTCCCACTGATCCTTTTTACTAAAGCTACATTCAGTTTTTGTCAGGATAGTCCTCTCAAGTCATATTTGGGCTCTATACCACTGAAATGTAGAAATGCCAGTATTTCAGCACCCAGACTAATCTCCCAGACAGCCTCCTACACTTTGGACAGCACAGAATGTTTTGTCACATCTTCTACTTCTTGGTTTCGAAAAATATTACCACCAGATCTACCTGTAGTGTCAACACCTTCCTTCTTTTGTCTAACCTTCAAAGGCCACAAGTCCCTTTTCTCTATAGTGCCTTCCCAAGTCATTTCAGGCTCCATTAATTTTTTCCTTAGAGGAATTTACAGTCTCTACCACTTTTTTTGGGGGGGGGGGAATTTTTTTGTACTGCCATTAAACCTTTCATCCACTTTGGAACTTGTTTTTCTAAGCACTTTGGCGACAAGAACTGCAGCTTATGCTTTTTTTTTCCCAGAACAAAGCCACCCACTACGTTTGGTTTTCCATTAAGTTGTAACCTTCCGGGCCTCTTGTCCTCTCCAACTCTTCATTAAGCTCTCTCCCCGACTCCAAAGCTCTATTTAATCAGACTGGGACAACCATCATCCTACCAAGTATTCTCAGATAGTTACTGGCTTTTGAATTTTGGGATTTTATAACACATGCTAAAGAAGAACAGCCAGACACAAAATTCCTGTCCTTGGTGATTGCTTTGTGGCAGTACTGCCTATCTCCTTTATGATTCCTCTTCTCGTCCCTCAAAATCTAAATTACTTTTCTATCTAGACAGCTTCCACAAACAAGGCTTCTTTTTAGGCAGCTCCCCACCTCTAACCAGTCCCATTCCCTCAGGTGCCCATTTCTTGTTTGTTTGTTTTGAGACGGAGTCTCACTCTGTCGCCCAGGCTGGAGGGCAGTGGCTCAATCTCGGGTCACCACAACCTCCACCTCCAGGGTTCAAGTGCTTCTCCTGCCTCAGCCTCCCAAGCAGCTGGGGTTGCAGGGGACCGTCCACCACGCCCGGCTAATTTCTGTATTTTCAGTAGAGACGAAGTTTCACCACGTTGGCCAGGCTGGTCTCAAACTCCTGACCTCAGGTGATCTTAGGTGCCCATTTTCTAAGACGGCTGTCACAAACCCCGGGGAAAGAAATGCGAGTTCCACCCACTGAAGGCCACTGTTGTTCTGGGGGCCAGGGTAGGACGGGCCAAGGAGGGGGATTCCAAGGAGGAGATCGTCATGGGGAAGGGCCACCAGAGAGCTCACCCTAGGGGCCCACAGCTCAGCTCCACAGCTGAAACCCCAGCCCCACACCACGCCAGAGCAGAGATTGCTGGTGGCAGGAAGTGTGGGCCCGCGCCCCACCCACCAACGTCAGACACCGGAAGTGGCCGTTGCTGGGGCACGCGAGGAACGAACTCGGCTGTGAGGACAGCCTGTGTGGACCAAGGTAAGGAAAGGCATCCCAGGGCACCCCTGAACAATTCCTCTTTTGCGTAGTGGCATACCTTCACCTTCTAATATCCCGTTTTCAGTTTTCTGCCGGTGGCCTTCGGCCTTGTGGACGCTCAGTGCAGCTGTTTTGGCTACCAGCCGGTTCCACGGCATCATCCGCTCGAGGGCCTCCTTGGCGCCTTTTCTACGTTCTTTTTAAGTTAACCACCTACCCCACCTCCTCTTATTTAGTCTCATTGAGTAAATCTGCTGTGAGTGTTGTTGTTGTTGTTGTTGTTTAAAGCAAGAAAAATGATTCTTTTACCAAGGCCCAGAAGAAAAATGATTCTTTTACTAAGGCCCAGAATTCTGTTAAGCGTTTAACCAGTAGCCGCCGACTATATCCATCCGCTACACCTGATTGCTTCCGCGTAGTTTGCCCGTTTCACCGGGATCTAGGGAAAAGGTAAAGAATCCCCTTTTAACACTTTGATGCGGAAGATACGTAAAACGGACATGGATAAGTGATGTTAACTGTGAATTCCAGTTCCCCTAGTGTCCTGTAATTCGTCCTTTCGTCTGGGAAGAATAGGTTGGCTTCCTACAAGCTGCTGAATCTGGTGCTCATCACCCACGTAAAATCAAAAAACATACTTCCAAACCCTTATTTTTAATGAAAAAGTATTAAGTAACTACATGTAAGTGAGACGAAAAGACAGCCTTGGTAAAAGAATCATTTTTCTTGCTTTAAACAACAACAACACTCACAGCAGATTTACTCAATGAGACTAAATAAGAGGAGGTGGGGTAGGTGGTTAACTTGAAAAGAACATAGAAAAGGCTCCAAGGAGGCCCTCGAATGGGTGATGCCGTGGATGATTTCTTGATCCAAAACATAAACATGAAAAATATTTTTAAGACAAATTCGCTAATGATTGTCATTAACAAATGGGCTCTGCAGCAAAAAACTAGAGTTCTGGCCGATTACTTGTATTTCCTATTATAGGTTCCACCGCTGCTTATGTCATAGAATGGGGGGGGGTGAGGAGTGTAGAATTGTATGAGAGGCCACATGAGAGCATGCTCTAGAGACAGTAAGACCCTTTTCAGAAGTCTCCTATGGGGACGGTTTTATATACATTAGGTTTTTCCCACAATAATTTATTTAGTCTCAGTGCTCAGTAGAAGAGATTTCTAATAGAAGAGGATTCAAACTATGAAACCATTTCTCTTTTAATCTTTCACATTCCTGTTACAGATTTGTTCTCTTGTGACTCTGTTATACATAATATGGACAGTTCTTAAGCCTTAACATTGAAAAGTTTTCCCTCAGTGCATAGAGGGAATGAGTATTAATTGGATAAGCTTAAAGTACTGCCACTTTAGCACTGAAGACTTGGGGGAGAGGAGGTGAAGCATCACTAGAAAAAGGGACAATATCAGTGTGGCCCTTCCTGGTCATGTTTAAGAAAAGTCATGAAAATAGTCAACTCATGTTTCTGAGCATATTGGAAAGGTGAAGTATATTCTGTCAAAGGTTTCCAGCATTTCCATGTCCTAGAGAGGAGCAAGATTGGTAACCTGCCTATCTGTATTTTTAAGAACCCGAGAGGAAAGATTTCTAATAAAACACTGTTTTTGTGTTTACATATAAGGGTTTTTTTGTTTTGCTTTTTTAAAGACAGGATCTCACTCTGTTGTCCAGGCCAGAGTGCAATGGCGTGAACCTCAAAATTCCTAGGCTCAAGTGATCCTCCTGCCTTTGCCTCCTGAGTAGCTGGGACTACAGGCACATAGTCCTGGCATGGCTAAGTTTTTTTTTTTGCTTATAGAGACACTGGCTTTGTTCCCAGGCTAGTCTCAAACTACTGGCTTCAAGTGATCCTCCAGCCTCAGCCTCCCAAAGTCCTGGGATTACAGATGTGAGAGTGACCACTCGCAGTCCTTATGCATAAGTTTAAATAACAGTATTTTCCTGATCTTGACTTGCCCCCTCTAATGTTAAATATTAATATTTACATTATAATCAATAATATTATATTAATAGTATCAAGCCCTAACAGATACTAAACAGTGACAGGCACTTAAGTAATAGCACCTAAGGTAGACATTTTGTCACCCAAATACAGCTTAAGTTTGAACTATAGGAGTCATATTTAGTTTTCCTTAACTATTTGGTAGGCCCTAGAATTTTTTCCAAGAATGTGAATTCGACCATGATGTTAAAATGATTCCAAGAAGAATGCTTTAAAGAAAAGAAAATAATGGAGGGAGTGGGGAGAGTAAGGGTTTCTTATATTGAACTTGGGTAGTTTCTGTTCCAGAAGTGACTCCACCTGTTAGGGTTACCTTTTGTTACATTTTTATTTCTGATTCCCTGAACTACACTTTTGTTTTTTCCAGCACTTGGATTCAGCTCCTTCAGTTCCAACATGGAAGAAACTTACAGTATGTACTCCTTGTTGTTTTTAGAAAATAAGTTAAATCATTTGCATATAGTTTTATATTGGACAAGACTTTTAGTGTACTGGGAAAAAGTCGGACTACTCCCCAACTGCTGAGGAGGAAAAGTCTGTATGGTATTGCCCAAATTTGAAATAAGATACTTGAAAATTAAGAGGTATGAGAAGTCATAAAGTTTTGAAAAGGCCACAGTTAGGACACGTTTGTTAAACTATATTAAACGAGGCAGGACTTCAACTTCTCCTTGTGTGTATGACACAGGGATAGTAACCTCTACTTTCTACTGTGAGGGGTAATATAGTATACTTAGATAATAGCGGTGATATACATTCGGTTTTTAGGATAAGAAATCTGGGAAGGATTCTTATTCTCAAGTGATCCAGGAACCTTAGATGGCCCAGGAAATCAAAGGGGAGCCAGCACCTGAATTATACAAAAGGGACTTGAAAAACCGTATATTACAACAGAGAAAATAGAACCTAGATTGATTAATTTTGCCCAAGTTTACATAGTAAGAGACAGAATCAGAACCAGAGTCCTCTATCTTGTTTATGTCTAGTACCCTACATGATACCACAGACCTATGATTTTTAGCTTCTGACTAAATTTGAGGAATATTGAATTTATGCCTGTGGATACAACTTGTCAACGGTATCTACTTTTTCTTCCTACTTTGCTGTCTTGTTCAGAATCTCATTATAATTAAAAATTCCAACTAAAGGATATTTCAGTCCCATTCTGCCCTCTAGGAAGAGTCCAGTGGAGAGCTGTATTTCCAAAATACAGAAACTATATAGAAATAATCTTTATTAAATATCTAGAACACAATCATTCTCAAACTTTAGTATGCAGCAGAATCACCTGGAAAGCTTGTTGAAAAGATTGCTGGGTCCCACTCCCAGAATTTCTAATTCAGAAGGTCTGGTATCTGTGAATTTGCATTTCTAACAAGTTACCAGCTGATGTTGATCTGAGGACCACACTTTGAGAATCACTGATCTCTTATAAGGATCCCCTGCCCTTTAATTTTTCTCAAAGTTTTGGGTTTTTTTCTTTTCTTTTTTGGAGACAGAGTCTCACTCTGTCACCCAGGCTGGAGTGCAGTGGTGCAATCTTGGCTCACTGCAACCTCTGCCTCCTGGGTTCAAATGATTCTTCTGCCCCAGCCTCCCAAGTAGCAGGGACTACAGGCGCATGCCACCACGCCCAGCTAATTTTTTTTTTTTTTTCTAAGTAGATACAGAGTTCACCATATTGGGCAGGCTGGTCTTGAACTCCTGACCTTGTGATCTGCACACCTCGGCCTCCCAAAGTGCTGGGATTACAGGTGTGGGCCACTGCACCCAGCCTTCTTAAAGTATTTTTACTTAAGATGTGAAATTCCTGAGCCAGTTGCGATGGGGCTCGTGCCTGTAATCCCAGCTGCTCAGGCAGCTGAGGCAGGAGGATCACCGGAGCCCAGGAGTTAGAAGTTAACAGTGAGCTATGATCACACCACTGCACTCCAGGCTGGGTGACAGAGCAAGACCCTGTCTTTTTTTTTTTTTTTTGAGAAGGAAGCTCACTCTGTCACCCAGGCTAGAGTGCAATGACAATCTCAGCTTACTACAACCGCTTCATTCCAGGTTTAAGTGATTCTTCTGCCTCAGCCTCCCAAGTAGCTGGAACTGTAGGCACATGCCACAACGCCCAGCTAATTTATTTATTTATTTATTTATTTTTGAGACGGAGTTTCGCTCTTGTTGCCCAGGCTGGAGTACAATGGCACAATCTCGGCTCACTGCAACCTCTGCCTCACGGGTTCAGTGATTCTCCTGCCTCAGCGTCCTGAGTAGCTGGGATTACAGGCATGTGCCACCACACCAGGCTAATTTTGTATTTTTAGTAGAGACGGGGTTTCACCATGTTGGTCAGGCTGCCGGCTAATTTTTACATTTTTAGTAAAGATGGGGTTTCACCATGTTGGCCAGGCTGGTCTTGAACTCCTGGCCTCAAGTGATCCACCCACGTCGGCCTCCCAACGTGCTGGGATTACAGGCATGAGCCACTGTGCCTGGTCAACCCTGTCTCTTAATAAGAAAAAAAGAAGGCCGGGCACGGTGGCTCACACCTGTAATCCAAGCACTTTGGGAGGCCAGAGTGGGTGGATTGCAAGGTCAAGAGATTGAGACCATCAGTGGCCAACATGGTAAAGCCCCATCTCTCTATTAAAAATACAAAAATTAGCTGGGCATGGTGGCGCACACCTGTAATCCCAGCTACTCAGGAGGCTGAGTCAGGAGAACCACTTGAACCCAGAAGGCAAAGGTTGCAGTGAGCTGAGATTGCACCACTGCCTGGCAACAGAGCAAGACTTTGTCTCAAAAGAAAAAATAAGAATGTGAAGTCCCTTTATGGTGTGTGTGTGTGTATATATATATATACACACACACATACATATTCTTGAAAGCATACTACTATTACATTAGAAAACATCTCCCCTTTCTGTCTCCCAGTTCTTTGTTACTTTTTTCAGCCACATTTTTTTTCTTACATATCCCTGGGAGTGTGTTGGAAATGAACAATCTGAGGCCTTATCTCAGACCTTCTGAATCAGAATCTGCACTTTAACGCAGTCCTTAAGTGATGTAGCACCTGCAGAGTAAGCTAAACTTTGAGAAACACTGCCTTAAGACTATACTTGACCTTTTTCCCAAATTGACCTGGCTTTCCAAGTTAATCTTGTAGATTCCTGAAGATCTCTGTCTTCTCTCTTTGGACTCTCTTAGCTGATGATACTTTTGTCAGGCCTAGTTCCTTATTTCCATGAAATTTCCTCCATTTCTCACCATGGGTTCTGGGCCCTACCCAAATCTGAGGAACAGCTGAGTCTGTGCTTTTAGAGGAAGCTTGTCAAATAGACCTACTTTGTTTTCCAAAGTACGTTATATTCCCAGGAAACCAGACAAAAATTTTTAGAGCAGTTTGTTAGTATTTATTAAAATGCACAGACATTTCAATGCAATGCTCTTAGGTGTTTATCCAAGAGAAATACTCATACATTTGCCAGGCATGGTGGCTTATGCCCGTAATCCCAGCACTTTGGGAGGCTGAGGCGGGCAGGTCACAGGAGGCCAGGAGTTCAAGACCAGCCTGACCAACATGGCGAAACCCTGTCTCTACTAAAAATACAAAAAGTTAGCCAGGCACGCCTGTAATCCCAGTAACCTGGGGGGCGAAGGCACAAGAATCACTTAAACCTGGGAAGTGGAGGTTGCAGTGAGCCAGGATCACACCACTGCACTCTTTAGCCTGGGCAACAGAGTGAGACCCTGTCTCAAAAAAAAAAAAAAAATACTCATACATGCACAAAGAAGAATAAACCAGATTGTTAGTCACAGCATTGTATATTATAGTAAAAGCTGGCCTGGGCATGGTGGCTCACACCTGTAATCCTAGCACTTTGGGAGGCTGAGGCTGGTGGATCACCTGAGGTCAGGAGTTCAAAACCAGCCTGGCCATTCTCTACTAAAAATACAAAAAAAATAAGCCAGGCATGGTGGTGGGCACCTGTAATCTTGCCTACTTGGGAGGCTGAGGCAAGAGAATCACTTGAACCTGGGAAGCGGAGGTTGCAGTGAGCCTCAAGATTGCACCATTGCACCCCAGCCTGGACAAGAACAAAACTCTGTCAAAACAAATAGTAAAAACTGGAAACAACCTAAATGTCCATTAATAAGAAAATCAATTAAAAATTTGGTACATCCTGCAACCTCATGAGACAATGTGAACCAGAAAAAAGAAAAATAATAAAAAATTTGGTACATCCATATGAAGCAATGAAGTATTGCTTACATGTACTGATATGGAAGGAACTCCAAGATACATTAAGTAAAAAGAAAAGAAAGCAAATTGCAAGATAGACGATACAGGAAATACTATCACATGCTATAGCATGGATAAACCCTGAGGACCTTAGGCTAAGTGAAATAAGCTAGTCACAAAAAGAAAAAGACGGAGGTTGGGGGATTGGAGAGGCATAGCATTAAGAGAAACACCTTAGCATTAAGCAAACCACCATAGCATGTGTATACTTATGTAACAAACATGCGTGTTCTGCACATGTACCCCAGAACTTAAAGTACAATAAAAATGACTATGATTTCATGTATATGATGTCTCTAGTCAAATTCACCAAAACAAAAAGTAGAATGGTGGCTACCAGGAGCTGGAGGGCATGGAGAATGGAGAGTTGATTTTTAATGGGTATAGAGTTTCAGTTTAGTAAAATGAAAAACTTTTGGAGATTAGTTGCACAACAATGTGAATATATTAATACTTAACACTGTATACACTGTATACTTAAAAATGATTAACATGGTAAATCTTACATGTGTTTTTATCACAATTAAAGATTTTTGTCCCAGCTACTCTAGGGTCTGAGGCATAAGAATTACTCGAACCCAGGGGATGAAGGTTGCAGTGAGCCTAGATCACACCACTTCACTCCAGCCTAGGCAACAGAACAAGACTCCGTCTCAAAAAAAAAAAAAGAAAGATTTTTAAATCAAAAAGAATTTTTTTTAATATAGAAAGCCAGGTTAAAGTTGACCTAAATTGCTGGAGACCAAAAAGTAAAGCATTACAATGAGAAGCTCTCATTATCAACTCCAACATATGCTACTATATGGGCAATATAATATGTATGAATCATAAGGTACCATCCAGTGTGTCAGCTGCTGACATGGCCTAACATTTGCTAGTGATGGGAATGGATTAAATGAAGGGAAACTAACAGGAATTTCATCTGTAAACTCTCCCTGTTTGTCCTGAAGCTTCAGAAATATGAAAACATTGCTGGTCAAGAAGAGCCTCGTTGGCATAATAAGCCTGCCTGTCCTTTAAGACTTTTCCTTCCTATTCATTCCGTCCTTCAAGTCACCTTTCTGGCTCATTTGCATCACGATCATGGTTAGCAATTTATTCCATGTTTACCACTCTTCCAGTGAAACTGTCTGTTTCAATTCCCCACTGACTTCTGATTTTCATAGCAGTCTCCTGGTTTATAAGCTTCTTATCAAATGTGAATTGTTTATCTTATTTCACTTTTATCATTGCCTTCAGGGGTGGCAAGAGCAATTTACTAGGTTGCCTCTTGTCTCATAATATACCAGAATGTGCTTAACCATTTAATTTCCCTTCCTTAACCAAACTTGTTAAAATTTGGGGTTCAGCCCGGGCATCTTGTATAGCCTAAGGGTTGTTTTAAATAGCATTTTATAGGTTAGGGGCTTTCTTTTACACAGCAGTTCCATATGTCTGCAGTTGTCTTAACCTCAGGAGGTTCTGTTTTTGTAGATTGTTCTATTTTTTTAGCTGGCAAATGTAATAGTCACTAGATTAAAGAATTCTGTATTTTGTTCTCACCTGTGTTCCAAAATATGAAAAGTTAAAACAGCCTGTCTGATAACAGTGTTAGTTTCATTTGAGAGGTAACTAGAATAACCAAGATCAGGAACTACTTATAGGAATAAGTTAAAGCAGGCAGATGAAAAAGAAATCATCTATCCACTAATATTTTTCAAGCTTCCATAGAACATATAACTGATGCAGAGCAGTGCTTACCAACTTTTTTCATGTCATCATAGAACATATAACTGATATAGAGCAGTGCTTAACCAACTTTTTTCATGTCATGGGATACAAGTAATAGATGAAGATACTGGTGAAGGGGATTAACTACTCTCAACTTGCCTGTGGAGATGGGAGGTGGGGCTGTCTGGAACTTGCAGTGGGCCCCCAGATCAGTGTATTAGCACACCAGCTAACCATTTCAACTTCAGCATGCTGGCTGGGAGGCTCTGAATAGACTAGCTAGAGAATAGGAATAACCCTGAATTAGCGCTTTTAGAAAAGAGGATGACATTTTATTTAACTTTGTTTTATAGTAAGAGTAACCATGAAAACAATATTTATGTTCAATTCAATATGAAACTGAGACTTAGCACCTGAGTTTTCTGGTTCTCCTGAACTTACTAAGATTCAGAAATATTTTAAATGTGTAGTCACTCTTTTTTTTAATCCAAGTTTTCTTTAGACCATATTGTTCTATTAGTACAGATTCTCTTGAAAAAAATCCAGTGTGCCTGGAATGCTGTAGTTTTATGAGGGCCTGTTATTGTTTTACTTACTAAAATACTTCTCCCTTTCAGCCGACTCCCTGGACCCTGAGAAGCTATTGCAATGCCCCTATGATAAAAACCATCAAATCAGAGCTTGCAGGTTTCCTTATCATCTTATCAAGTGCAGAAAGGTAGGGTGTTACTCTATAATTTGCTCTCTAACACCTTCTGATTTCTTTTAAAAGGCCATATTTTATAAACATCAAATGATTGTATCATAAATGTTTTAATCGATGGCCAGAATTATTTTGGGAATCCACCTCTGTTAAATACCAACATTTATAGAAAGGCATTTGTTCATTCCTTAGGATAATTTTTTTCTTGTTTTGGCTTTCTTTTCACTAACTAGTGACCCTTTATAAATGGTATCTCTAGAGTCTTTTCACCCCTTGTAAATAGGCTAATTTTTGCTAACAATGAGAAATCCCACCTATCTTGTAAATTTGATGTATTCATCGGCCTAATAAGGATTAGGTCCTGTAATTCACCTTTTCTGATTTTAGAAATTTTAGAGCTTGAACAGCTAGAAGTTAGCCCAAGAAAAATTATTCCTAAAAATAATTGTATCTCGGTCGGGCGTGGTGGCTCACGCCTGTAATCCCAGCACTTTGGGAGGCCGAGGCAGGTGGATCATGAGGTCAGGAGTTCAAGACCTAGTCAAGATGGTGAAACCTCACCTCTACTAAAAATACAAAAATTAGCTAGGCGTGGTGACAGGCACCTGTAATCCCAGCTACTCGGGAGGCTGAGGCAGAGAATTACTTGAACCTGGGAGGCGGAGGTTGCAGTGAGCTGAGATCGTGCCACTGCACTCCAGCCTAGGCAAAAGAGTAAGACTCCATCTCACAAAAAAAAAAAAAAAAAAAATTTAATAACTTTATCTCCAAGTTTCAACAGTAAACATCTTTTTTAAAAAAATAAGGATTTTCTTTCTGGTCACTCTTTTATAAATTTAGCTGATATAAACTACTTTAATGATGCATTAATTGAGACACTTTGACACTGTTGTTAGAATGCTGATACAGAAGCCAAAATTCTGCCAGAATTTATGCTTGGAAAATAATTGATATATTTAATCCAAACTGCATATAATTCAGGTTTAACATCCTTTAAAAAGTATTTCTTATATAATGTCTCTTTGTTATTTCTCCAGCTCCTTTTAATCTCTAGAGCAAGGATCCCTTAACATTAAACCTGGATAATATGGAACAGCAGATACCACTACAACATTGTCTCCTCTAGGCTCTCAGGCATTTCCTAAGTGGAGCCAAGTGGTGAAAAAGACACTATCATAACTCCCCTCTTCTAGTGTTCTTAATCTTTGGCCACAAAACTTTTGTATTGAATGCCTGATATTACTTAGGAAAATGACACAGATGCCTGCAAGTTTCTCACTCCCATATATTTTTCTAGCCTTCTCCCTACTTCATATTATTTTTACTTTTTCTAGTTTCATTTATGACCTATCTTTTTCTTTCTAATAAATTTCTTAATTGCTGGTATATATGCCATAGGATATGGGTGATACTAAACCCTTTGTTTTGTTTTAAAATAAGGAACTTGGTCAGCAAAGTAGACTCTATCATTTGGGTTTTTCCTTAGTGAAATAGCTGAAATAAAGGTCAAATTGCTCAGAGCTTCATTTCAGGCATCATTACTTTAAATAAGCGTCACTGTGTTCATCTGAAAAATCATTGCTTTGCCTCTTCTGCGGCTCCCTTACAACAGCTATTTTCCAGCACTATTGTATTGCAATTGCAGGGGCACAACTGCAATGCAGACTAAGAGTGTGTTTTAGTGTTACTATTCATCCTGAATATCGACTTTCAAAGACATCCAGAGAGCTCTCTCATTACAGGCTGTGCTGCCTGAATCTCGTGACTCTGAGAAATAAACAGGGAGGAAAGATGTCTTAACTCTGCATAAAGCACTTAAACCCCAGTATCTGTGTTATCAGTCTCTACAGTCATAACAAAAAGACTTATGTTTTTTATGATGATTTTGAAGTAATTGTCTATATAAACGGTAAATAATTCCCACTTAGTTTTGTACTATGTGTGCGCTTGTAGTTAAGCCAGGAGTTTATTGAGGAATTTTAGAGGAGGCATTTATAGAACAAAGCTTAACTACTCCCCTTTGACTTTAAGAGATCCAGAGAACTGACAGATCCCTTAATTTTGGTTCCACAGAATCATCCTGATGTTGCAAGCAAATTGGCTACTTGTCCCTTCAATGCTCGCCACCAGGTTCCTCGAGCTGAAATTAGTCATCATATCTCAAGCTGTGATGACAGAAGTTGTATTGAGCAAGATGTTGGTAAGACTCACTACCTCACATGTTTCAGTAGAGGAGGTTATCTCCTTCAGATTTGTATTATGCTACATTGTCAGCTTGATTTTTGGCTTCTATTGTTTCAGAAGAACAATACTTTTCCACCTTTGAGATTTGTATCATAGCAGCAATAGGTTGTCAGATTGTATGTGTCAGACTGTTTTCTGAACAGTCTGGTTCATTTTACTAATAATTCATCTAAAAATAAAATTTTTTTTTTTTTTTTTGAGTCGGAGTTTCGCTCTTGTTACCCAGGCTGGAGT